AATTGATCAGATTTAATTTGAGGCGAGAAATGTCTTTCGTATAATCATATCACCAATGTCTTTCATAGTAATTGAGATTTAAAGGAAGAAATGATTCGCTTGAAATGTGCACATATTAATTTATTACATGCCATTACATCCAGGACCACCACAGACAGATGCGAATTTTCCTATGGGCCTTATATAAAAATAAATAAATTAATTACATAAATAAATAATGTATAAGTTTTTGATATGCGCAACCCTAACAGCACCGTAAAGAGCATGTCGCCAATTAATCTGTTCATCAACTCAGAAATTTCCCATTCAATCGGAAGTGACGTATGTGCAAAATGTTGCCACTTTTCCATCAATCAAATACAAAGTTTTGATATATAAAGAGACCTAAGATATTTCCAGAACTGCACTGTCTGTCATTTCTTGGATTATTTCTCAATGACAAATATCTCCGTACTTTTCCTACCCTAATTCATTATTTGAAACCACTAACATTTCCACAGCAGTAACTAATGTGATATAAACACAGATTAATGATGATTTCCATATTATCCACCACTCAGTATTTGTTGAAATATTGGTTGTCTCATCTAAACTTCATTTTTGGTTTTCTTTATTAATACGAGCAATAAACTACTTCTGCTTAGCTCAATTTTGAAACTTTAGCCATCCTTTAGTTTCTTCTAAGATTTTCCTTTTATTCCAGCAAAGATAAAGTGGCCTTTGACCTTGCTTTTAAAAAATGAAGCATATTAGGAAATAAAGATGGCGTTCGAAGCCAGTTATTCGCTATGCTATCATAAGAGAGATGAAACCAATGCATGTAAAACATTCTCCAAACAAATTCTTATTATTTTCGATTTATAAAAAGTTAAGACTTTTAACTTGCCTGTAACATAAAGAGAAGTGGACTGGAAAATTTACTTTTGCAGAATAAAGTCAACTTTTGTTATAAATTCCACTTTTCTAGATAGAACTAAACTTTTCCGGACAATATTCTTAACTAATGGTGGTATCTTATATCACAATGCGCAACTGTAGCCTTCGTGAAAGGTAAATTCTAAATATTTGCATATGCAGAAGGGCACTGGAATTTGTTTGGATGTACATTTTCCAATTTTTTATTTAAGTATATTATTTGGCTAAAGGTAGACTTTTAACTTTGTGCTCAAATCATACATCAGAGGATGCTATCTCACTCGCCAGATTTTAGACGTGGTTCATCGGTGTCGCTGACAATCGATCCCGGCCGGTTCCAAAGCTCCACTCTTCAAATATCAACAGTCCATGAAGAGTTCGTGTTAAAATTATATCTTCATTATACCATCATCTCTTACTATACTGAGGAAAATTTTTTGTCTTTGCAATAATTGATAAAATGCAAAGCGACCCTAAATATGCACTGATTTACAATAATTGTGGGCGCTTATTTCATTTTTGCTCATAATTATTTCACTGGTCATAACAACACCGCCATTTCTAGTCATCAGAGCATATTTTGAATTTTTAGTATTTCTGAAGAACTGGAGCTTCGTAAGTCACGACGTCTGACACGCCACCAATTGCATCATCTTGACATCTCGGTATCCTTGTCCGCAATCTACGCAGAATTTGCTGTAAGTTAAACGACATTTTCCAATGTTTTTCGCTTTAATTAATGAAGAAAAAAACGAAGTAAAAGATGGACAACCTATTAAAGAAAAATACTTAATATATTCCGTTTTTACAGGCTCTTCCAAGTCCAAGTACTTCGTCCTGTGAAAAAGTTGCTGGTTGCAGTCAGAAAAATCGACATACGTTGTGGCCCATACGGGAAACTCGTGTACGGCTATTATCCAACTACGGAGCTTCATGTAATTCTACAGCTGAGGATGTTTGCCAGAGCTATATCAATGCCAACTATATTTTGGTCACCTTATCATTTTCCTAATACCTGCAAGCACAGATCAATTCTAAGAATTAACAGCCTCGTTATTCACAACAATCTTCTTCATTTCTACTGTTACTGACTAAAAAATTCCAAACTGGTCCAACTTCGTCGGCGAGTTTGTTCACAGGGAGTGTGAACCTTTCAACGACCCTTTCATTACTCATGAAATATTTGTGGAATAACACCAACAACTACAAAGTTTCGAAAAATATAACATATAAATTTTCGTCGGTAAAAGAAATCATCCCACCCGTCATTTCTATGGATATTGATTTCCAATCAACTGATTAAATGCAGGATTCGAAGTCAGAATTAATGTATATCGCAGCAGAAGGCCCAATGCCGAATACAGTTAACGATTTTTGGTCAATGGTTCTTCAGGAACGTACACCAGTTATTGTAATGGTGACCAACCTAGAGGAAAAACCTTGCGGAGCCAAGCTAGCATTAGTACGCTTTTAGAACTTGGTATACAGAATTTCTTGTAGCTCGAATAAGGAATTATATATTAAAAAGCTCCTCATACAATTCTGAATTCTTCAAATCGAAATTGATGAAATTTGTGAAATGAACACTTGGACATTTTACAGAAAAAATGCGAGAAATACTGGCCGGATAGCCATGCCTGTTATGGAGAAATTGATGTTACCGTCGTATCAACATACTTTCATGACGGTGTACAAATTCGCCACATCATTTTAAATGTACTGCTTTTTGTTTACTTGAAAGCTAGTTTTCTACATGTGCTTTCGTAAATTTGACAGTTTCTGGTAACAAATGTGTCCGGCACATTAATACGAGTTATTCTTTACAACTTAAAACATAAACTAAATAGCGGAAGCATGAACGAGAGCTGGAATTTTCATTTTCCGAAAGGCTAGTGCTTAACTTTCACTATAACCCGAGCTGCATTCGACATCTGCTTTCACAAACAGATGACGCGTTGCATTGAACTGTTCCAAAGTTCTGCTATTTTAAAAGCATGAAGATAATGCAACATTCATAGTAATGTTCAATGCTTTCCAACTTCAATTCCTTGTTGAATTCTTAGCCTAATTTATTCAGGTAAAAGTTACCAATAAAATATATTTAAAAAGAGGAAGTAACTGATTTATGTTTTTAGTGTGGTGGTTTGGAGCATCACGTGAGGCACATTTGGTTTACAGAATGGTTAGATCACCGTTTGCCTGTGCAACATATCACTCAACTTTTGAAAGTAATCGTTGCTACGGAAAGTTACAGGAATGAATATCGAGAATTTTCCTCTCATACAGCACCAGTTATTGTCCATTGCAGGTAACTTCCTCCAATGACTTCTAAAAGACCAGCACTGCATCCAAAAAAATCCTTTATCATCATTTATAATGAATATGAAGCAGCATCCACTGTTTGCAGTGCTGGAATCGGTCGAACCTGTACCTTTATCGCGATAGCTTTGGGAGTGGATCAGCTCTGTAAAACTCCTGAAAACATCGATGTTTTTTCTATTGTATCCAGATTACGCAGACAGAGGTTTGTTTAAAGAGATGTATCAGTGGTACAATGATAAAATAAGGAACACGATTTCCTAATCATTCATTGTGGCCCCCTGTGATGGCTGAGCCATGACGATTATAAGTAGACCCCTAGGTGTTCAGAATGCTTGGTCAAACAGTTCCACCTAATTCACCAGTTGATCATACCTTCAGCAGTTCAGACCGCTTGTTTCATCTAGCTTGATTGATACGTCCTCCTTCTGAAGTTCTCAGCCTCCCAAACCCTGCAACACCCCAACAATACTTTACTGCTATGATATATCACGATGACAAAACACTAAACTTATTTTTAATAGAAATTACAGATTTGGAGCTGTACAGCTTCCAGGACAGTATGCATTCATCTACCTAGTGCTGCAACGCATGGAAAAAATCCTTCCAGAATTTTGTGCACAGAATGACCAAGACAAGTTCCCTGCATGCCTTACTTTCTCAAGTATAAATTCTGCTCCAAAGCCTTTGATTTTTAAGCTAATGGAAATAGCAAAAACTTCTCTATGGAGAAAAAATAAACTAAGGAACGGTAAAAAACCCCGGAGTGGTTCTCACTACTTAGCACGTTTTCTGAGACATTACTTAATACCACAGAACCCTGTATCAAAACTGTAAAAAATTTTTCTAGAGACATTCGACGATGAGAATGCCAAGTCAGAAAGTGAAAATGATGACGAAATATTCTGGAATAACCAAGCTGACCTACTTTACAGCAATTTCTAACAGTTAACGAACCAGGGTCTCACCTTTCCATAAAACATACCTGACCGTATTCAGTTTGCTCATTTTAACGTTCTTAATACATTTTCAAGAAATAATAATAATGTACAAATCTCTGTATTGTTTTCTGCAAGAGCTGAAATAGCACTTCGGCAGTGAAATACCAGATGAAAGATAACCATGAATTCGTATAATCATACAAGCAGAAGTGCACAAGTAAACCCAATCAAATCTGATTATTTCGAGATTGTTAAAACTCGTTGTACTACAAAATAACGGGAAGTCAAGATGCAGAAGGAGGAAAAAGGAAGAGAGTAGAATAAGTGTATTTACAAATGCTAAAAACTGTGTTTTTCCAAGAATCATGAAATAGACTTTATAAATACTGCAGCATTGTAACCGACGTGATTAATTTACGACACAAGCGACAACTTTTGACTTAGTCCAATCAATTAATTTTCAAGCGCATACGGCACATTGAACTGTCACATAACTTAATCACATAAAAACGGATACCACGAGATACATTCCTTCCCATTTTTTCCGCTTCCTCCTTTGTTTTACAGTTTCGTCTAACCAACTTCATACTACAACTTTTAAAACAAGCAATTTGCAAATGCTTACAATATGCAAATATCCAGATGATTCATATCTATTCAGTTCTCGATACCAGTTCAACGCATACCATCACTATTTTATTGTAGCACCTTCGACTAAAATCAATTAATAGCGAAAATGATACCGCATCCAGAACTAAGATAAAACGGTATCACTTGACAGTGTCAAACAAATTCTATACTCTTCTTTTGAAATAGCAGCGTACAATCTTTGTGGTAATGTACGTGAACCAAGCGTGGGTCTACGAGCACCGCACCGCATTATGTACTGCCTCCTAAAAATGATATTTATTTTCAAAGACACAGACCAAACACATTCAGCATTTCCGCCTGCTAATTGGTAGAAATACTATCGGCTCAGAATAACCTGACTGAACTTTCAACGTCACTACATTACCACCTGGTTTGTTAATTCACTATTTAACGTCAGTAATGAATTAGAAATCTGCGAAAGATTTACCTGCGATATGGCATGTCTTCGTCGCCAGTGAGGATTTGCTCAAGGGTTCTCTTTTCGGTCCTGGAGAAGTATGAAAGCAAAAAGCCATACTTCCAGAAATTTTAGGGAAATATTTCATGTCCATAACACTATTGATTTTTAGTTAAACTTCCCAAACTAATTCTACCTTCACAGTTATAAAAAATATTAGAATAAAAAAAATATGTAAAACAAATATTAAAACCTTAACAAGCAGACAATAAAGCAGTATAAGCTTGCATACCCTAGCCCGTATAAGATATATGAGTTAGATATAAAAATCATGCAAAACTACACCAAAAACAGTCCAGTAACGCGTTTTCCAATATGGGTAGCAAGAAGTTTACCTATTTGAGGGATTTTTTATAGAAGAACCAAAAAGAGGTTCTTCAGAGCTAAACCAACGGGCCCACATAAACCTCGTACAATCGGTACTCGATAACCTGCACCAGCTTTCCCACCATTAGCAGCACTTTGACAGTTTTGCTCGTCTGATCGTACGAGCAACATAACGAATTGTCGTATTTCGCACTTCTCATTTTCAGTTAACTACAAATAAAATTTGTTGTTGCTCAAAAGAAGATATCGATAAACTGGAGGTAATACGTGGTAAGAGTAAATAATTTTACCAAGGTTCCTGTGAAAATTCATCAGGCAAGCCACACTATACTACTCCGGTCAGTAAGTTCTATAAACCCAGTAGAACTGGATGTATTTCAAGCTATCCAACTTGATTACCCTGCCTCTATTTTTATAAAATAAACAAAAGTTCAATCGAAAAGTTATAGTTACGAAAACCAGTTGTTTCAATGGATTCTATTAAGCGAAAGAAATTTCCGAATTCTTTGAAGATTAAGCGACTAATACGCAGTATAAAGAATCCGTACGATGAATTAAACCTATTTTGATGAATATATTTTAGAAGGTATTAAGATCCTGAAAAAACTGACCTGCAGAAATTATCACCACCAAACAACTTTTAATCAGCTTTTACGCGAACTTCCAAAATAACTCAAATAAACAAATCCAATAAGGCAAACAAACCAACCCTTTTATCGATTGCAGAAACTAACTGCGTATAAAGTGCATTGCAGCAAGCAACCACTCCCTCAATTTGAATTATATCCTTGACAGCATCTAAGTAATCATCCAAATCATTGCTTCTTGTACAATTCGAAACTTTTTTACAGAGGTTGACTAATTTGTCTCCAGTAAGAGCAAAATACGGTTTTGCTATAATTATCTAACAGTGAATTGTGAAATGAAAAAAAAAGATAGAGGTAAATGAAGTAGAAGTAGATTTATGGATTTCGAAACATTCTAATGGAAGAATAAGCAAGTATCATTTCATGTAAAACACAGACCTCCAATAAAATTTAGTTTAATATCTTTGTTTCAAAATGAGATCTGGCAGCAGTCAGAAACATTAAAAAATGTCAATTCACTAATAGTGCCAACACTTTTAAGTAATCCGCAAATACAGCACTGCATTTTAGCCAGTAATCGGAATCAGATGCAGTCTGAAAAAATCAGATACAGTCTGACTCCGATTACTGGAACAATTAAACGAAATGATTTACTTGTGTTAAGTTGTAGGAATATCTAAAGACATGCTGGAAAGTTGTATCATGCTGATTAAAAAACTAACATTCATCCACTAACTGTGCGGATGCGCACTTGAACAAAACTGGTAAGATATAAACAATCAATTTGGATACGGTGAGATTTTCGAAATCACTAATAATCTGGAAATTGCGTATTTATTAACTTCGCTAATAAAACAATAAAAACAAATCATCTGTTTGTCTATGCAGATTTAAGACACTAATCTCAGCATTAATTTGCCTGCGAACTGAAAACTAAAATATGCATGACAATAAAAACCCAATTACTTCTAAACTGAACAGAAAATAAAGAAGAGGGTGGAAATACTGAAAGTTACAATGTGGTATTTCGTATCTTTTTCCTGAAATTGAAATAACTGAAGATAACCTTATTAGCCGCTTTCACGTCGTCGAATAGCATTTTCTGACGACAAGCAGGTTTCGGTTGCGCTTGGTTCCACGTTAGTTGCCATGTATTATCTTCACCCGTCATGCGACTTGATAAGTGACCTTTAAAGTATGCAGACAGATTGTTGTGGGAAAAGCTGACAATCCAGAAAATTACGGACACAAAGGTAAACAAAAGAAAGTTCAAAGCTTACCTTTACCCGTATTTTCATCATCCACGATAAAATCACGAGGAGAATGCCACCTTACAAAGTCTTCAAAACAGCAACCTGGATTGGCAGCCTAAAAACAAAAGATGACCTATGTAATTCGTAGCATGTGAGCATTCATCAAAAAGTGTATCATACTTTAAAAGCTTCCATGTCTGAAAAAAGCGGCTCCAATTGTGCTTTGACCCGTTCTTCAGGATTCTTTAACGAAGCTAAATATTCAGCATGCCTCTCAAGCATATCTTCGGTTATTGGAACACGACTCTGAAAAACACTCGTATACAGGAAGAAAAAGAGATATGATGGATAAAAGCCAAGTAAAACAAACCTGTGTAACAGGTTCATACATAAGCCTATCGGGAAAGTGAAAGAGTCGCAAAGTGCTAAAAGTTTTCAAGCGCCCTTCTGCTCCTGAAGAGTCTGGTTTTTGTCTTGATATTCCTTCACCACTTTCTTCTAACGATTCTGGTGCGTCAAAAAATTCATCCCCTTCTGCAAAAATAAATTTAGTCTAATCTTAAACCTTCCACAAAGCCGTTCGAAAGACTTCGCCCATAAGTTGGATCAAGAAATCAACGTATATACCTGACTTATACAGTTGCCAGTTCTGCATAAAAAGGTTTTTCGATTCACGCCGTTTTTTAGCTTCAATTGCACATTGTAAAAGCTGTAGATTCTGGTGAAGTTTACAGGTAGATAAATTGGGAGCTAGAGACTCATCCAATCTACAAAAGCTTATTGT